GGGCTTTGTGCTCGATTTCAAGTAAATCCTAAGGAATCCCACTTGACTACTATCAAGGGGATATTGAGATACTTGAAAGGCACCACTGACCTTTGCCTTTGGTATCCAAAAGGTAGCAACTTTAATTTAGTGGGATATGTTGATGCTGACTATGCAGGTTTCCTTGTGGACAGGAAGAGCATCTCAGGTATGGCTCACTTTCTTGGTTCATGTCTGGTATCATAGGCCACTAAAAAATAAAACCCAGTGGCCTTATCTACTGCTGAAGCTAAGTATGTTATTGTTGCCTCTTGTTGTGCTCAATTGTTGTGGATCAAACAGTAGTTGATGGATTTTGGTATTAAAGTTGGTTGCATCCCTATTTTTTGTGATAACTTTAGTGCTATTAGTATGACTAAGAACCCAGTTCATCATAAGAGAACTAAGCACATAGATGTTAGACACCATTTTTTTTGAGGGACAACGATGAGAAAGGACTGATTACCATAGAATTTTGTGCTACTAATAAACAGATTGTTGACATCTTCACTAAAGCACTAAGTAGAGAGCACTTTAAAAGGAATAGGTTAGAATTAGGGATGATTAAGATCACCTAATGGGACTAGTTCAGAATGCACAATGAAAAAAAATAAAAATAAAAAATTTTGGTTAGGAAATCTGGAACTTGTGTAAATATCTAGATTGATTTTTGCTCAGCTTCATATTGTAAATAGTATACTCCTATGCCATGTGTTGATATGACTCACTGATCTCTAACAAATTTTTCTCTATTTTGGCAAATTGAGGCATGATCAAGAGGATTCTTAGTGAAGAACCTGGTTCATCTGAATAACGAGGTATGTTTTCTACACTCTGCACAATTAGAAATATTAATATTTAATTCATGAGCAGAGTCCTACCTATGATCAAAAACCTCATAAAAACCTATCCTTTTAAATTTGAACCAGTTCCGTTTCTACTAGAATTCTCACCACACAAAATGCCTAAAATCCAGGGAAGCTTAACCGCACATTCAACCTGAAATTGCAGGTTTATTGGACTTCTAATTGACTGCAAAAAGCTACCGTTAGTCATTAATTAATCTTCTCTCTTTAAAAACCATCATCACCATCACTGCCACTCTCATAATTCTAAAACCATCGAATTTCTTCTGCTCTCTATTCTTCTCTCTTCCAAAACCCCAATTTAAAAATCCTTTTCTAGAATTAGCAAGATGTCTAACCCTCAAGATAACCCAGGTACTCCTCCACAACCTACCCCCTCTGATTCCTCCACACCTCCTCAACCCAGCACTACTCCCCAACCTAGGAGAAAGCGAGTAAAGATGCTTGCTCGTAAAACTGTGGCTACAGGTGCGCTTTCAAAGAAACTGAATGCACAATTGAAGGCTAGCCAAGCCCAATACTCTGAAAACTCAGATTATTTCTTCAAATCTACGAGTGAGGGGGAAGGAATTGGGTCTTCTGATTCTGAGAAGGTTCAAAATCCCCCTTCTGAGGTACGCTCCATTTTGGTTGAAAATTTGGATAATAGATTTGTTTGGTTGGGTCTGTTATGAATGTCGAAACACCTGAGTCAAGAAAGAGAGGAGGTAAAAATAAAAGTAAAAAAGAAAAGGAGAGTGAGGGTGTGAGTTGTGATGTAAGGGGAAGAGGGATAGAAGTGGTTGATTCCTCACCCACTTTTGAAATGGTTAGACCGGCACCTGTGGGGCTGACCATGAAACTGTGGAAAAAAATAGTAAGAAAATAAGGGGAAGTGGATCAGAGGAGGCTGCTGAAGGGCTGGTTAATCTAATTTCACATACAGATGAACCCGGTTCATCTATTGAGGAGACCCTAGCAGACCTTCTGAATAAAGTGGGTGCAAGCTATAATCCAAAGAAAAGGAGAAACCCTACACCAAAAGCCCCAAGCACTGCAAAAACTACCAAGAAAAGAAAGGCTTCTTATCCAACAACTGCTGAGATTTCTCTACCAAAAGGAAGGGCCACAAGAAGTAAGTTGAAGCAGAGTGGGGAGGAGTTACAAAAAGCTATAGCTGAAAGCAAAAAGAAGAGAATAGACAAAGGAAAAGCTAAGGTTCCAGAACCTACTGAGGCTGTTGATGTGGCTGAGATGGAACAGGTCCATCAAGATGAACATGTGACTGTGAATGTGGAGGTTTAGACCCCTAAGCCAAAGAAAACCAAGACTTCTTCCAAGAAGTCTTTATCTATTTCCAAGGCTGCTGAAACTTCTTCCTTGGCTAAAAGAACAAGGTCTGCTGTGAAAGCCAAGCAAGTGAAGATTACTGAAGATAAAGATTGGAGTGATGAAGAAGAGGGTGAATCTGACCATGAACAAGATAAGTTGGCCAAGTTTGGCAAAAGAAAAATCTTGAAAGGTAGACTTTTGAAGGATTTGGTGGAACTAGGGATGGTTCAATTGGTTGATGCTCTAGCTGCTCAGGGCTGGAAGGACATGGTCCTTCAGTTGGATGGTAGTCTAGCAAGGAATGAGATCATTGAATTCATAGCAAATGCAGAGGTCAAGGATGGCAGAGTTACCGGCCAGGTGAAAGGGGTTCAAGTGACCTTTGATGCAAAGGAGCTGGGTGAGATCCTTGACATTCCTTCTGAAGGGTATGATGACTACACAAGGCAATCACTAGGAAATTCTGTGATGTCACAGAAGTGAATGAGGCCAAGGTTGTGCATAAGAGTAAAATGAAGCCCTGCCACAAAGTCCTGTTTGAATTTGTCAATAAGTGCTTACTGCTTAGGCAGGAAAGAAGCCACATTGCTAACTATATGGACTTGGTTTTGATGGAGTTTCTTGAAAGTGGAAGGCAGATCAACTGGCCTGCATTTATTATCAAGCTACTGGACAGGGTTATCAATGGCTCTAAGGCCCATGCCACCCCTTATGGGTTTATTCTGACTATTGTTCTGGATCATTGTAAGGTGACACTAAAGAAGTGGGAGATGGCTACAAGCAAAGACCATTTTGGAATCAACACTTGATTGGTTGTGACTATGAGGTCACTGCCATTCTCAATGAAACTGGTTCATCTAAGAAGACACCTATAAAGCTCTGGTGCAGGAGAGTAGGGCAAAGGATGCTGAGATAGCTAGGCTGAAGGGTCGTTTAGCAGAGGTGGAATCCGAGAGAGATGCTCTCAGAACTGAGCTCACAAAGGAAAAGGAGAAGAATGATGACATTCTTCAAAATATGTTGCACCTTCTCCAAGCCAAAACCCAACCCTCCAGCTCTTCCAAGCCTTAAGATCTTTAGCCTTCATTTTCTGAACCTAGTCCTTTCAGTGACCCAGATTAGGGATTTTTCTTGTTTTGCTCATGTTTTGACTATTTTTGTTTCTTTTTGTGGATTGTGGTAGAATCATATTCCCTATCAATGAAGTTTATTGTTTTTGCTCTTGTTGACTGTTTATATTTCCTTGATAGTTTGAATATGCTTGGTGATTACTGATGATTAATCCATGATTGCACTTGCAATTGCCCCAGTAGCCATGAGTAATTGTTAAAATTCTAGGAATCACACTGTGTTTATGCAACTTTTCGATGATGCCAAAAGGGGGAAGAGATATTGTGCTTTATATTCTGAATAAGTGATGTTTATAACCTAATGAACCTGGTCCTTGATGTAAGTAAAAAAAATTTAACTTTGTATTGATGAATAAGATGAGTTCTGTCAAGGCCTAAGTGAGTGGAACGCACAAAGTTTGTCATCATCAAAAAGGGGGAATTTGTTGGCTCAAGTTAAGGTAAGTTTTGAAGACTGACAAAGGAACTCAAACATGGACCAGGTCCATCCTAGTGAGGCACAAATATGGTCAACTCAAGCATGTGAGATGCACGTGAAGGAGATAAACCTAACTTCCAGAAGTGATATCTCCTGATCATGATCGAAAAGGTTGCATATTGGATAAGGAGAAAGACTCCATACACAAAAAGAACACTGCTTAAGAGACGGATAGAGTTAGAAGAGATGAGTTCAACTAGAACTCTTCCACCATGGAAGAGTAGCATCAGAATTCTAGTGAATCTCTAATTACTAACTCCATAAATATCAGTGTTGTTCTCTTTTAGAGGTTACACAAAAACGCAGAAGTTAAACGTGAATTGAGAGCAAAATAGCAAGGCTTTTTGCAAGCAGTTCGTGTTTGTGTCAAGTGTGCAAACCTGAAGCTACATGAACCAGATTGAAGAATCAGCTCCATAAAGGGTTTTATGTGTCTTTCTTTATTTTTAGTTCAATTGTAGTAGGTGTTTTCATATTGTACCTTTCAGCTTATCTAGAAGCAATTGTATTAGGTACTCAGAGTTTTCAAGTTAGAGTTAACTTGAAGTTGTCGCAACAGTTGAGGTTGTGTGCTACAACGGGATTAGAGTTAATCCTAGATTTACAAAAGAGTTATTGTAAATGCAGTTTTTGGCTCAGTGATTTTAGTGGAGAGTTTGGGAAAATCCTACTGGAAAGTATGTCGTGGTTTTTTCACCTTTTGAGCCAGGTGTTTTCCACGTAATATCTTTGTGTTCTTTAATTTCTGTACTTATTATTCCGCAACAGTAGTGGTTGGAACACATAGAAGAATCAGGTCCTTCTATAATAAAGTTAAGCGAAAAATTGGGTACCACACAAATCACCCCCTTCTGGTGTGGTATTGAAGTATAAAATATAGTTGTGTAACCAATAATATGAGATACACGCACAAAAATATATTATTTTTAATACCTTATCTTACTTATTGATACATACACTAAAACTAGTAATACATTAATACTGTCTTAAGAATATTTTTATTTTAATTTTTTTTTCGTGCTTCTTTAAGTTTCTTAATTTCCAAGCCATGGCGTGCGAGCGACATAATTATTGTCCGCAATTATTCTAAACGCAAAAGTTTGTGTAATCATAATGTGTTAGGTGCAACTAGAATGATAGTAATTATAAAACATTCTTTGACCTTTTAACATACATATATATATAGAAGTATGTATAGCCAATAAAACACGTACTACTTCAACACTTAACCTCATTTAATTTGCTCTCAAAAACAAATAGGGAAAAAATGCCGCCATACACTGAAGAGCAGGAAAAGGAGAAGGTAGAAGATGTAGTAGTGGCATCATATGTATGCAATGATCTAGAGAAACCAATAGTCTCCAACGTATCGTTGTTGTCTCAAGTCCCAGTTATTGATATGGAAAAGTTGTTTTCTGATTATGGAGATGATGATACAGAGCTTCAGAAGCTGCATCTTGCTTGCAAAGATTGGGGATTCTTTCAGGTATTCAATTATCAGAAAATTTGGTTGAGATCATTGCGGAAAACACATTTTTTAATTACTTATTAATAAATTTCAGATGATAAATCATGGAGTGAGTAGTTCACTATTGGAGAAAGTGAGGTCAGAAATTCAAGGATTTTTGAATTTACCGATAGAAGAGAAGAAGCAATTTGAGAGACAAGTAGGGAATCTGGAAGGATATGGGGAAATGTTAGTCTCATCTGAATCTGATGATCAAAAAATAGAGAGTTTGGTTGGCATGTTTTACCTCGTTACTCAGCCTACCCATTTGAGACAACCTCATTTGCTTCCTAAATTTCCACTCTCATTAAGGTACATCACATATTTCTCTCTTTACTTTTATATACTCCCTTTGTTCTCAAAATACTTACCAATTCTTGCTTATCGATATTCAAAATAATTGAATTTTGAATAACATTTTAATATGTATTTTTCGCTATATTGATATATGAAGAATTGCGAATTGTAATACTTTTCATACAGTTTTTAAATTTTAATTTTAAACTACTGTATAAATTTAATTCATTTATTTTCAAAGATTAATTAACTCTTGAAAAACGAGAAGTGACAAGTTGGGTTTGAAAAAGTAAATAATTACGTATCCATCAAATTCATCACGTCTAGACAATGACAACTTTGTTTATCGGAAATTATGATTTAATAGTATCCTTGTCTGGTTGCAGTCTTCTGACTTTAGCTTTTATATAATCATGGGATTCCCTCTTTTTAAAATATCCTCTTCTTTTTTTATTTTTTATTTCACTATGTATGATATTGTTTTTCTTTTTAGTTTATCTAAAAAATGGTACTCTTCTATATTTCAAACTACATAAATCTAGCATCCTAATGCTACCTATAGTAGTAATCTTTATAGTTATATTCTTAGTCTTTAGTACACATCTTACGCGTGTACTCTATACTAGTAAGTACATAACTTTTATAAATTACATAAATATTATAAAACAATGTGTTTAAGTTATACAACAACAACAACAACAAAATCCAATGTAGTCCCACAAGCAGGATCTGGGCAGGATAGTGTATACACAGACTTTACCCCTATTTGGTGAAGGTAAAGAGGCTATTTTCGATAGACCAACAGCTCAAGAAAAGGGGAAAAAATGAAGCAGTAGCAATAAACAGTAACAATAATATAATAATAAGAAAACTGAAGCGAACAAAACAACAAATAGTAATATGGAATGTGTACTATAAGAGCTGAAAATGCAGGACTTTTAGAACTAAAAGAATTGAAAAATTAAGTTTATAAATATTAGGAAGATAATTAAATGACTATTTCTAGATACTATGAAATTAATTAAATGACCATTCCTTAGATATTAAGGAATTAATTAAATGGCTATTCCTAAATAATTGAGAAATAATTAAATAATAAGTTTGTCCAATGTAAATACTATTTTTAAAGGATAAATAGACGACGGCATTTTATTAAAGGCCTTCGTATTTTTAATATAGTATAGTATAGATATAGATAAATATATCATATGTTTAGGAGCATAAATTTTTAGAACATTTTTAGTATATTATACATATTTACCTTATCTGTCAAAAGTTAATCTTCCCTTCCATTTTTAAATATTATGTCCAGCCAAACACTTTTATATAAAATGCATGAAGTATGATATTTCTACTAAAAAATTTCACCCTTGCCCTCAATTAGTTTAAAGAAAATTCATACCTCCGGGGCGAATCTAGAGTTCAACATGCGGGCTCACGACAATTCAGTAGCTTTGTAAATTTTTCACGTGGCCTCGAAATTTGCGTCACCCATTGAATTTGTACTACTTTTATTAAAAAAAGTTTAATTGATACCCAATTTTTGGATAACTTTATATACATATACTTTTCTCTTATTCTTTTATGATATTTTCTTCTTCTTTGTGCTTAGAGTTTCTTCTTCTTCTTCTTAGTTGCAGAATGAGTTTGTTAAATTTGTTGTTGTTTTGACAATTTGATGATGGAGATTTGTTCTTTATGATATTTGAAATTTATGTTTCAAATTTGAGCTTATTTGGATTAGATTTGTGCATTGAATTGTGTATTGGATAGTTGAAATTCGAATAACAAGTTTATGTTTCAAAAATTAAGATTCGAAATCTGAAGTTGCTTTCAATAGATTAACTACTTAAGATTCGAATTTCTGAAGTTGCATCTGAAAGATAGAAGAACTTCATATTCGAATTTCTGAAGTTGCATTTGAAAGATATAAGAACTTCAAATTTGATTTCTGAACTTGCATTGGAGAGATTGAACTACTTCAGATCCGAGTGGGTACACTTTGCAAAAAAAAAATTGCAATGCGGGTATAACTTCAATGGTGGCCCCAAAAGTGGGTATATTTGAAAATGCATTAAGAAGTCCACTCATTATCTATAAATATTTGATCGTGAGCCCAATTATTATTGTAAATTTACTTGAAGTCAATGAAGGAATCCATAAGCTTTCAAATCCTGAATCTGCCTCTCCGGTACTCGATATTTCTAAAACTTCTCTGCCATTGACATTCATCCTCTTATAATTTCATGAAGGGATGCCCTAGAAGAATACTCAACACAACTGAAGGAGCTTGCCATGAAAATGTTTAACATAATGGCCAAAGCACTAGGAATGAAGGCAGAAGAAGATCTGAGTGCTCTTTTTGAAGGAGGAAAACAATCAATGAGAATGAATTACTATCCAAAATGTCCCCAACCAGGTGTTGTTATGGGACTAAACCCCCACAGTGATGGTGCTGGCTTGACCATACTTCTTCAACTCAATGAAGTGGAAGGTCTCCAAATTAAGAAAGATGGTGCTTGGATTCCAATTACACCTCTCCCTAATGCCTTTGTTGTCAACATTGCAGACATGTTAGAGGTAATTTTACAAAAGAATATTAACATTGGGATCTTTACTCAATTAACCATCCGAATCTATTGTTTATTTTTCTTAGCCGATATACATATATTATACATGATTTATCTATATATTATACATTCAGCGATTAATTTTAGTTTAAGTAGTTGGGTGGACAACTATTTAATTAGGTTAATTCTTTTTGAAAATTTTAGCATTATTTTCAATTGGATTTAACGTTTATACATTGAGATTAGTAGAATTTTTTTGTATTACCAATGTATTTTCTAGATTATCATATAAGATTTACTATGATTAGTTACATTACATATTATGTTAGAAGTTAACTTAATTGTACATTGTTAGTGCAAAAAAGTTAAACGCTTTTCAATTGGATTTAACATTTACACATTGAAAATGCAAAGTATCATTGTATTTTAACATATTATACTTCATTTATTATATTTTTCAAGTTATCATATTTGACTTACAATGTTGTAAGTAATTTAATAACCTAATAGTGTACAATAATTGTATACTGTGATGATAAGTTAAACTCTTTGTTGGATTTTATAGGTGTGTTTTAATCTATTGCTGTAGCAGGTTTTTAATTATATCTTTCAGGTTATCATATTAGACTAACTATGAACAACAATTACTTGGTATGTTAATAAGTTACTTAACTTGATAGTAGAATAAAATAATTATATGCTTTCGGTGTAGAGAAGTTAAGCTCTCTACTCGTAGGCGTAGCTAGTATTCTAATTTTCTCAGTGCTGTTGAATATATAGATTTTGACAAATGGAATTTATAAAAGTGTTGAACATCGACCAGTCTTCAATCCAAATAAGGAGAGACTCTCTGTTGCAACATTTTTCGAACCGAGAAGCGACGTTAATTTAAGTCCAGCAGAAAGCCTCATCACTCCTCAAAATCCAGCAAAATTCAAGCACATTGGTACTGTTACTGATTACGCCAAGGGATTTTTTAGTCGACAACTTGGTCAGGGATCATATCTTGATACTATGAGAATAGTAACTAAGGACCAAGAGAACAATTGATCATCACATTTTCAATAAGGATTTATATTGTAAAATTATTTGCAATACGGTGGAATTTAAACGTAAACGTATTTTACATTGTAAGTACACAACTCAAACTCCAATAAACAATTGCCTGATTTTGTGTGATGTTTCATTGGCTCGTGCATGTTAATAGCAAATTGCAGACAGGGTTTGATGAATTTCAATATCAGTCTTGTAAATCCTCTAGATTGAAAATAAAATCGAAATGAGAAGAAGGATCACCATTCCTAATTAATGTTAAAAAAGGAAGCAAATGTAAGCTTTTGGCACTACTCGTTGTAAGAATTCTAAGCAAGTGTTATTTGGGAAAGTTGCACGTTTGAATTGGATGAGGATTTTAAACAACTAAAACTTTGATAGGATATTACAGTGTAAGACCGGTTGAACATTTATCACACTAAAAAGACATGTTAAAAACTATCCAAAGAAAATTCTTATATTTCGCTCTTAATTATAGTGACTTGAGGATAGCACTAAGAAGAATTGAAAAATTAAGAAAAGGACCGGTTGAACATTTATCACACTAAAAAGACATGTTAAAAACTATCCAAAGAAAATTCTTATATTTCGCTCTTAATTATAGTGACTTGAGGATAGCACTAAGAAGAATTGAAAAATTAAGAAAAGGGAAAGAAATATGAAACATGCGGCAACTTCAAAGATGCACCGCTCTTATTCTAGAAAGCATTTCGTTATGCCATATGAAGTAAAGTCAGTAACAAAGAAATCTAGTATTCAATCGATCAAACGGTTTGTCACATTTTTGTCATTAATATATCAAAGTCACACAATTTCACAAAGTCAGTATGATGCGTAGAAACTTGGGGTGTACTAAGTGCACGACGCATTGTCACTTTGCGCGGAAAACCAATGGTTTTTGGGGATTTTTCTAAGTATTAGACTTGAGATACGTAATGCTCAACCCTACTTCATTTCTAACACTTTAGACAATTTTGGGGGAGGGCTCGAAGGAGCTAACGTTCCATCAAGATTCTTCGTAAGAATTGAATGTAAGAGTTAATAATTTACTCTTACCAATTGAGGGTTGGAAACCAGTACTAGAGGGTTTTAACTAGAGAGGTGTCAAAACGGGGGAGGTGTAGACATACCCGATTTTAAGGCTACCATGCACAAAAATTTACCCATTCTGAAAAACACTCGCATCGAAGTCGCATCTAAAGTTACAATTTTAGGGTTTTGGAATCGGATTTGAAGTTTTTCTATCGCTTCAAAGTGCAACTTCAGAATCAAATAAGAAGTTCTTTTATCTCTTCGATGCAACTTCAGAATCGGGATTTGAAGTTCTTCTATCTCTCAAGAGGTCCGTTTCACCGGTCTCAGTGAGGTCACCATCGAGCAAGTTTTCTCTAATAACGGTGGCTTTCTATTTTTTCACTATAGTCTACAAGTACCAACTCAAAGTTTGAATCTCAGTTTTAAGACAAAAAAGAAGAATAGAAGAAGCAACCACAAAGAAGTAGCAGCAGCAAGAAGCAAACACCGAGTAGTAGTAGCAGCACGAAGAAAAAGTGGGTACAACATAAATGGAGCGACCAAATAGGGTACGTCAAACCTTAGCGGGCGTAAACTTAAATGGGCTAGGATGGGCTTGACATTTTCATTAAAGGACCTTCAAAATACAAGCGAGAACAGGCTCTGCAGCCCAATCCTAAGCGAACCACAAGCTAGAACAGATTGGCCCTTCAATTTATATTAGTGTGTATATGTTTTTTTCTTCACAAAATGGGACCATCCCCCATCCCCGCTTTCTCTCGATTTTGCATCACTAAAATAGGTAAAAAGGAAATAAATTTTCCTTTCTTAATATGAATTGATTAAGGAGCGAAAAATTACAGTTCCTAGTGGGTACAAATAGTTAAAGAAAAATGACAGCCCGCGGCCGTTGAATTATAAACCTAACACCATTTTTTCTTGGTGGTGATTATTTTCTTTGGTTAAGATATTCACGTCAATGAAATGGAAAACTAGTGATATGAGGTTTACTCTACCCATTTAGGATTACTCAAGCAAAACCAAAAAGATTTTTGTTTTCGTTCCTTTTCTGTTTTCTAGCAGGGGATTGGTCTTTTCACAATTTTTAGCTATTTATAGTTCTTGACAAGAGGCAGAGAAGAAAAGTTGCAACACATCTTCTGATTTGCATTTTGCCATCTTTTTTCAACTTTGTGTCCTCGCAATGTAAGATCAATTTATTCTTTAGTTGTATACAAGATGGAAATTTTAACTATGAACAAATTCATTATGTACATACTAATAAGGCCTTTCAGGTTTACAAGTACGTTACAAGAAATGACGTTATCTTTTTTCATAAATTTACTCCAATCTTCTAAGACCAATCATACTTCAATCAGAACCGATCTGCCAATTGTGGAAATTGTTGCAGCAGCCATGCCACGCCTCTGATGGCAACCTGATAAGATTCGTAGAGATGTAAAAGGGAAAATAATTAAAAAATGAACTACAAAAGAGCAGAGAAATATACATCACTGCATAAATCATCCCGGCCAGAGGGTCTTTGGCACAGCAAGCACCATTGAAGGAATACACAGCAACTTACCTCTTTTGATTTATCAATGCGAAGTTATAGATGTGAGAGCAATATTGTGCTCCATTGCTTTGGGGAGAGGCAACAGGGTTTAAGGATAACCATGTGTATGCCAATAGAACATGTAATCAAAGCTCAAACTTATGAAAGGAAATATTTTTTCTACTTGGAGAGATTTGAGATTCAGATGACAAATAATAGAGATGAAACGCTCGTCCCTTAGCCATATATTGACCACTCTATTAGCCATCTCAGCCCCTTGAATGATTTCCGGGACTTATTTATGGCAAAGCACAAAAAGTTAAGAGTAGACTTATGTATGTGGGACGTTAATTTGAACTGTGCTGTCGATGCAAATACACAAACATCAAGACAATAGATAAATGATTTTTGCCAGTTTAGACACTTCCATTTATGTGGAAACATACATACCAATGCTGTCTCCCCAGGCTTGACTGCAGGTTCCACACTGTCTCTGCCGTAACTGCTTAAGAAAATCAACATTTAGTCCAGACATGAGATTTCGTTCTCCTAATAACCCTAAGACAGTGATTTTCTTGTTTTTGTTGGAAGAGATATTTAGACATTTTGACTACATAGCTGTTAATCAAATACAGAAACATAAAAAAATATGCCAGGAGCTGTCAAGAGTAAATATGAAATCGAGAAGTCATTCCTACGTCCATATACATCACATGCTGAAAGAAAAGAACATTAACTTTAGAGCATGAGGAGATGGCATTTCTACCAAGAGAGTTTTCGTCACTATGAATTTGAAAAATTATACTCCATCTATGTGTTGCAACATATAGTCAGTTCCAAGCCCGAATAAAAGCAAAGAGTTGCAGTAGGTTGACCACCAGTTAAAAATAGCCTGACTATAGTGAACTTTGAATAGTGAATTTGTTGGAACATGTTCGCTTTGGTAGGCATCTGACCGGAGCAAAATAGATATGAAAGATTTATAAAGCAGAATCCAACTTATTTGAGATTGAAGAATAGTTGGTTGATTTTATTGATAATAAACCACTATTCTGACTAAAGTGGACGTTACGGATCTTTTGTCTCTGAGCCGAGAGTCGCCCGGGAACAGCCTCTCTACCCCTCTGGGGTAGGGGCAAGGTCTGCGTATACTCTACCCTCCCCAGACCCTACTAGTGGGATTCTACTGAGTTGTTGTTGTTGTTGTATTCTGACTAAAGTGGACATATAACTATGCTCTTATATTTTCATGAATGAAGTTATTCTATCTACAGATTACATAAAATCAAAGTAGCCAAAAGAATGATAACGCATAAAAACACATCCAACATTTTATACTGGTAAGGATTTTGTTTTACGCACAGTATTTGCCTCTGGCCGTTCACCACTTCCAATCGATAAAAGCTGCATCCTTTGCTAAAAGGAAACGGTCTTCCCCTCCATTCTGTTTTCACATTCAAAATCAATTAAACTGAAGAATGAAGATCCAACTTCCTGGTAAACAATATGGAAAACAAATCAAAGCATGGTAAGCTCTTTCCACACCTAAGTGCCAAGTGACGCCAACAGCTGAAGAATCCTCCTGAGATATATCATCAATAACAAATTGCAGATCAGATCCAACCGAGTCAGTGAACTTCTTGAAAAAGTTTAGAATCGCCTGCAGTGACAATTGGTGATCAAACGTAAGCATAGTGTTAAAAAAAAAATTGAACCTTGGTCTAACTCAACCCTAAAGCTCGTTCAATTAGTGAACATTATCCAGGACTATATAAGAAAACTATAGCCTATAGACTCATGGGATTTAGACATGCCCGCACACGTCAAGAATTGGACATTTGGAGTGTGGAGTAACATAACATGAGTGACCATCATCAGGTAACCCGACATCAGGGATGAATTTGGCTCCATACCATAATAAAGTGTATGATCACCTCATCTAAAAATTTAAGCTTTTAGCTGATATGGACACACCAACACATAGAAATCTATTTACAACGATAATTAACTAACAAGGCAAAGTCTTCGCTTATAAAAAGCAAAAGGATAAAGGCGAGAGGAAAAGCAGTTCCAGTAATCATCTTTTTATTACCACAGCATTCTTCATGCTAAATAGAGAAGCCAACCGTATTTCATGTCCTTTCAAGAAAAGCAGTTAATATTCCAGGGGTACGAACAAGAACAAAAACAGGCTTGGATGCGAGTTAAATTACGTACAGTCTCCATTGTAAAATTTGCATATGGTAAGTTTGACCTATTTTTGAGTGAACTTGAACATGGATAACTTCATCATTCGAAACATATTTGAAATTTTACAAATTTCTAGCTTAAAAATGATGAATAGAGCATGTAAGTAACACACGTATAGGATAAAGATGAGATCTCGCCTTGGAGAACCTCTAGTTTTAGAGAATCTCTAATTCGTATCAAAAGATAACTTATTCAATACTAGAAAGAAATGGCCCAGTGGAGTGGATTCATAGGATTTATCTGGAAGACCCAACTAGTTTGGAATTAAGGATCAGTTCATTAATTAATCAATAAAATTAGTACATGAAAGAATTAAAAGAATAAAAATTTTCACTTTCAAAATCTAGAAAGAGAACCTTAAGAGGCACAAACCTGTCAGCTGAAGGGTCTTTGGGAATTGTTACAACAGCATAAGTGAAGTGAAATTTTTAGCTAGAATAGGGACAAATTTTCATATATCCGAATGCATGTTTATGTTTAAGGGTGTATGCACGGGAAATAAGTCTTTTATCTTTAGTTGTGTAGATCTCTCTTTGTCTCTTAATTTGGGGGAGAGGGACTATTGGAAAGGCATGGCTCCCTGCAGCTTTGATCTGGCATCCCCATAATATCCTGTCCTCAACACACTGAACCCATTTTAGGTAAGACAATAGTACACATCAAGACTAAGGGGAAGTTAGAGCTGCGTTTTGGTGAACCTTAAAATCCAGCACCATCATGATAATAAATAAGCTGAAATTAATTGAATGACAAAGGTCACAGTTAAGGAGTTGAAGGGATAAGATGAATTATGGAGGTGGTGTACAGTGTATAGTTAAGCAGATTCAGGTTCAATGGCATGCTCAAGCTTGAACAATGTAGAAACAGTTTTAACTTCAGTCTTCTCTTATTGAACATGACCGAAAGGTCTGTACAACTAACTATCAAACATATATGCATCTTCATTGAAACTGAATATGCTCACGATCTACTTATGTTTTTTTCATTTATGAAGTTGCTCACAATCTACTTATGTAGGATCAATTGTAGATGGAAGGGGTCCTTCCATCTTAGTAATATGGTAGTTAGTTTTCCTAACCCACCACCATTTGTTAAAAAGGTTGAGTACGTACAATCTTCATTAAGGATTGGAAGGTAATGTTTATGTGCCCCTCCAATGTGTGTTTTTTTTTTTTTTTGGTATTAATATACAGGTAGCGGTCAATGCTAAACCCTGCATCACCACAAGTGAGCATGAGTTGAGGTGTTACAACAACAACAACAAACCCAGTAGTTTCCCACAAGTGGGGTCTGGGGTGGGTAAGATGTACGCAGCCTTACTCCTACCTCTGAACGGGCAGAGAGGCTGTTTCTGATAGACTCTCGGCTGAGCATGACTTGAGGTGTTGGATTTATTTTAAAAATATATATATGTCCGCAATATGATATACGTGGAGATCTAAAGAACTACACAGCACATATATGACACAACTTATGTTATTTCCCGTCATCCCAAGTCCAGCTAGTTAATCATAAGGTGCCAAAATCCCAAATTTCACACCTGAATGTAAGTCCAAACACATCAAGGGAACAAACCCATATAGTAACAGCACTGAAAATCAAAACAAATGTTAAAATCACCCAAAAAGCTTCTCCGTTGTATCATCAAAGTCAATAAGTCCTTTGAACCCAGAAGTCCAATTAACTTTGAATGAGACATAAATAAATATACTTAACCTGCATTACTGTTTAATAAAACCTCTGAATATACAGTGTAAACTTGTGGTCTGAAATATGCTATAAAATTTGTATGGCTATAAAAGATTCTCAATAAGTGAAAATGTGAAGCTTAAGTTATATTGTTTCCAATTTAGAGCGGATTAAGAAGGAAATAGAGTCACATAAGTTAGAATGGAGAGAATAATTATCATCAAACTTAAAACTACTAATACAGTTTGATAACTAACCTTACGGCCAACAAAAGGTTGAGGAAATACAAGGTCCTCATACACACAATTCTCAGCGATAAGTTGTTCAACCGAGTCCAAATCGCGGCTATTTATTCCGCCATAGAACTTCCTCACTACACTCGACGCCGATTCCAAATCAGTAACAGAATCAGAAGAAGGAGATGAAGTAACCTCCGCCGTCTGATTGCTGTCCCGTACAACTACGTGTCTTATCCCACGGCCAGAAATGATCCTAAATTGATAATCAATAGAGCGGTTGAGTTTGGCCGGAGAGAAAATGGGGGAGAGGTTTGGGTTGAGAGGGAGGAGAGAGAAGGATGAGATGCTGCTCATCAGCATCACCATTGCTGCACGCACTTGCAGTTTGATGCTACTGTCAGTGTTGTGTTTCTGAGGCGCGGGTAAATAACTGCCACTGATTTGTAATGAAAAATTAGAGAAGACATCATCTGATACTAATTCTTAAACATGAGGAATAAGGAGCTTCTTTTTTCTTTTTCGAAATTATTAAATAAAAGAAAAAGAAGAAGGAGAGCTCCTTTGGCACCCACTTAAAAGTTTAAATTGATTGCTCAAGGTAATTTGCTGCATTGGTTGCCAAAGGGTTGTTCACCACCGGTGGCGGAGCCAAAATTTTTATTAAGAGGTGTCAAAATATATAAAAGTAAATATATTAGGAAATTAAGAAAAGTCAATACATAGTATCAGTGGCGAATCTAAGATTTTAAAGTCATGGCTGCTCGTCGAAAAGAGTTTCGAAAAAAGACAGTAAACGAATTAAGCTATGGGTGCTCACTCATTATTTATCTAAATTTTTTGCTAATTGCCTATGCAAATATACTAAATCCGAATAAAGACAATGGGTGCTTGAGCACCCATAACTCTATGTAGATCTACCATTGCATAGTATATGTACATATAATTTATTTTTTTACCTACCTACACAGTGCATTTTTCTCGCAAAGGGGGTTATTGACACCCCTTCCTATAAGGTGGCTCCGCCACTGTTCACCACCTTGTCTATAATAGACGTGTCTGCTTTATCTTACAATTCTTATGCTTTTGATGCTGTATTACAATGTTTTCTTTTTGGAAAAGATTTGTAAACACTAGGACTAGGAGGCTCAAACAGGATTCTGCTACACTGGTTTGACAAAATAAATCATATTTATGTACAGTTTCACAATTTTGCAAGTTCTGCAAAAATACTTAACGTCCAAACAGTACTAAGATCTTGTTTCCAGATTTTACTTCTCTAACTTTATAATTCGGACTTACAGACAGGAAAAACATCATAGCAGTTGGCCACAATTAAACATTTTTACGAACAAGACATATATCTTAAGAATTAAAAGATTAAGACGGTGAAAAATGAGAAAGTTAAAGGGCTTAATTTCAATATCATTTACAACAAGATCAGATTCCAGTTAGCTGTTCAACTTGACGTAGGTACAGTCAGTTTCAGATTCCACAATACCTATTACCTAACTTTATTTCAGAGGAAAAATTACACATTGTACTTCCCTTGATTCCGTCTATCATATGCAAGATACTGTAAAATTTAAATTTGAGAAAACTGCCCACACAACATTTCTCAACAGCCGACCAATGAGTGAACAAAAAACTGACAAAGAACAAAATACAAATGGAAAAACCAGAGATTTCGACTAGGCATAGCTGCAATTGCAAAAATCCAACTTCACATCACTACTTCAGCCATATACCAATGTTATTCAAGTTTTTCACAAAAGGAAAACTCATCCATTAGTTCCAAATTGCCTTCCTAATAATAACAACAAAAAGTAAAGAACAAAAGACGCCTCAAAATGAAACTCTCCAGCCAACAGGAATTATCCATACTGCACGGAAAGAACCCTTAACGATTGGCCTTGGCAACCCTCTCAATCTCATCCTTCTTCTTGATAGCGTAGCTGCATGTACACAGCAACAGTAAGCAGGCATAGAAGAGTAGTTGCATTCAAAAAGGAGCGGATGACTAAAAACGATGGCAGTAGGAGGATTACCTGTTGGAAGATCCCTTGGCAGCATTGATGAGTTCATCTGCAAGGCATTCTGCAATGGTCTTAATGTTTCTGAAAGCACTCTCACGTGCACCAGTTGTGAGGAGATATATTGCCTGGTTAACACGACGGAGTGGAGAAATATCAACAGCCTGACGCCTCACAACTCCGGCAGAACCAATACGAGTTGCATCTTCTCTTGGTCCACTGCATTGCACAGGTTGTAAAATGGAAAAGGAAAAATTAGAAAGACTTTAATATCTGAAGCATGCTGCAACATGATAATGCTCAAACCATTTCTTTTTAAGTGCACATTCAAATAGAACAAAGACGAGATGGTATGAAAATATTCTAACAAACTAGAAACCTCAGCAAGAAAGTGTCAAGCTGATAAATATGAAATAATAAAAATAAACTCTAAACCTGTTGATAACAGCATCAACAATCACTTGGATTGGGTTAAGGTCAGTCAACAGATGGATAATTTCCATAGCATGTTTGACAATACGAACAGCCATCAACTTCTTCCCGTTGTTCCTTCCGTGCATCATCAGTGAGTTGGTCAACCTCTCTACAATTGGGCATTGAGCCTTTCTGAACCGCTTGGCTTGGTACCTCCCAGCCGTGTGCGGCGTATAAGTAGGATGCTTGGCAGCAGTGGCAGTAATGTAATCCTCAACAGAAATATCACTAATCTGCATGAGTAGTAACACTAAGAAGGAACTTAAGAGAACACTGATTGAAGTTCTCAGTAATGTATTCATGAAGAATCCATCTAGAATTACATTACCAACCTAACAAACAAACATTGCTTTGGAGTTTGGACTTGCAGCAAGTAATTTCAGTAATATATATCCATCGTATAACAGGTTACAACAATAAATAAGTACACCATGTGTAACGCTGTCAGCCTGTTACTGATTGGTGGAACCAACAATATTCTGCCCAATTTGAGCAGTGTGTTTAGCGGGCAATCTCTTTAACTAGAAAAGATCAAGGAAGCAGGAAATATATATGTCAGATACACCTAAGAAGTTATATTTCATAGTGTTTCAAGTTTCTTAATCAACATATTGAACTTGGGGACCTATAAATTATCTCTCTTATGCAACCATTAGCATTTAACTATTGGAAATTTTTTCTTAAGCTGCAACCAACAATTTCTATTCTTTATTTACCCTTCAGATTCAGAAAAAGGCCAAGTTTCACCCAATTCTATGAAAATAATAGGAGGTAAAAACTGTACACAATAAGTATCTAGCACTTTCTTTTGAACATAATAGTAGGTAAAAACTGTACACAATCACTAGAGTTAGGAAAAATAGATTCGTTTTACCATCTTCTAGGACGAGATCGTCCTTGGTTCTCGTAAAGACCCACAGTTAAAGAAGATAAAACAGAAAGATGGAATACTTCAGCAATATTTTCCTCAACACCAAACCAAAAAAATATTTTCCTTAATTTCAAAACAAACTGGACGACAAGCAGTGGCGGAGCCAAGAATACATATAAGAGTATTAAAAGAATACTAAAATTTGAACCTGTGACATAAAGCAATTCTTGAACACAATTTCCCACAGCACTAGAATTTTTCATTGTGTCAAGGGGATTCAACTAACCAAAAAAAACATCAGTTTGCCCTATTTATGAAGTGTATTATTCTGGTAAAGGAGATCCAATTGATCCCCTTCACCAACACCTAGCTATGCCCCTGACGACAAGCTGAGATTTTTCTAATTAGAAGAAAAATCATCTAACACTAATGGCACTTTCTAAAGAACAAAACAAATATCATAAAAATGATATTATGATTCAAAAATATAGTTTTGATGTTCACAGCACAGTATTAGTACCTAAGCTACTATAACATCCATAAGTTCCTTCAACTTACTAACCCAAATTCGACAAATCAAGCAGAGATCTTTTCCTATATGAGAAAATGAGATTATTATTAAACGGTTACGATTCAAAAGGCACACTAATAATAAAAAACGAAAAAGCTCTCTCCAACATAAATCTTAAGCAAATAACAAAAATATAAAACAAAGCGAACAAAATAATGCAAAAAAAAAGGAAGTAATCAATTCAAAAGGAATAGAATTAAGGGGAATGAGGCAAAATTGAAACCTGAACGTCGTCGTAGGACCAACGATTGAATAGCATAACATCAGTGTGAGCCTTTTCTTGCTGATTTTGGCTTTCTACTACAACTGCAGCTGCTTCCATTTTTACTCTTCTTTTCTTTTCTCGAGGATGGTTTAAGGGACTTACAGAAGCTTGCGAGCGAACAAGAAGACGAAGAGGAAAAACCCTAAAGCGAGAAAAAACAAAGTTATATTGTCCAAGGTGGCCTTCATTTTACACGCGTGTTCCTTCTTAAATTGGGCTAAGGCCTTTTTGGGCCAGTTTTACAAGGCGGCGAAAGCTCTCTCTCGTTACGTTATGTGTGTTGTGTTTTTCTACCAAATGACCCACCAAGGTCCAATACACAATGGGAAAAAAACACATAAAAATTGCACGTTTTATACCTTTTTTTTAAAAAAATTTTAACTTGTACCCACTTTTTAAATAACTTCAGTCATCTTTCTCCTTTTCTCCTCCTTTGTTTTCTCCTTCTTCTTCTTCTTCTTCTTCTTCTTCTTGGGGTGACAATGATTTATATGGTGGTTGTGAACATATTTTAATATTTTTTATGATGTTTAACAATGGTGAGCTGTTATGATGCTATATTTTTTACTATTGTTTAGTTCTTCTTCTTCTTTTTCTTAATTGCAAAATAAGTTCATTAGATTTATTGCTATTTTGACAAATTGATGATTGGAGAGGTTATGTTTCAAATTTGAGCTCATGTGGAGTAGATTTAGGTATTAAATCGTATATTGGACTGTTATAATTTGAAGAACAATTTTCTGTTTCTGGGAAATTTGCACTTCAGGCCTATTTGGCCTTAAGTGCATAAAAACGTTGGTTGCACTTCAGACCTTTTGGCCTTAAGTGCATCCGAAGTGTAATTTTTCACTTCGAATTTATTGGCCTTAAGTGTAGCAAAACATTTGTTTCACTTCAGATCTTTTGGCGTTAAGTGCATCTGAAGTGCATTTTTTCGCTTTAGACTTATTGGCCTTAAGTGTAGCAAAACGTTTGTTGCACTTCAGACCTTTTGGCCTTAGGTGCATCTGAAGTGCAATTTTTCACTTCTGACATATTGGCCTTAAGTGCATGAAACTATTGGTTACACTTCAGACCTATTTGGCATTAAGTGCATCTGAAGTGCAAATTTTCACTTCTGACTTATTGGCCTTAAGTGCATGAAACCATTGGTTACACTTTAGATCTATTTGGCATTAAGTGCATCTGAAGTGCAAATTTTCACTTCAGGCTTATTGGTCTTAAGTGAATGAAAACGTTTGTTGCACTTCAGACTTTTTGGCCTTAAGTGCATCTAAAGTGCAAATTTTTACTTCAGACTTATTGGCCTT